ATTTTCTGATATCATCTTCAATCTCTCTTTTCAGAGTGCCATAGTTTTCAGAGAAGAGGTCTTTGATTTTTTTCGTTAGGTTGATTCCTAGGTATTTCAGTTTTTTGGTTGCTATTGTGAACCTCTGGAGTCTTCTTAACCCAGTGCTCCTGGCAATTGTTACCATTCACTGGATAGGTACATAAGGTTTAGTCATCCAGATCTGATGCTGTGGTAGACATTTGCAGGTATCTCTCCAGACCTCTGCACACAAATATTATTAGTACCACGTGGGTGGCAACTTGCTTAGTGCGCAGAGATGAGCACTTGCCTAGACAGAGGAACAAAAACAAGACAAAAAGCCAGGGGTGCTATGAGGTAACTGTCAGGCAGGAGTGTTCTAGAATGCCTGCCCCAAAATCAGAGACCTCTGAAGAGTACATGCAGAAGGGCTTTGCGCTAACATCCTTACCTTTTATCTCTTCTCTTGCTCCAGGTTACGTTACAGAGGATATTTTGGGGGTGTTACTGCCCTAAGCAGAGAGCAGTTTTTCAAGGTGAATGGATTCTCTAACAACTACTGGGGATGGGGAGGCGAAGACGATGACCTCAGACTCAGGTGAACAAAAGAGAAAGGTCCCCTTCATGGGGCTCTGCTATCAGTGGTGGCTCTGGAAACCTGTGTTAATGTATAATTCCTATAGACACCAATCTGGAGGGTCACAAGGCTGCTGATTTGGCATAAAGCATGGCAGTAGTGAGGGAGGGCAAGGGACCTGAATTATTGTTCACCAGGGTGGGTGCATAAGTGTTGGTGGAGGCCTCTGAAGCTCATCAGTGGGGAGGATTTACCAAGACAAGGTCTCACCAGTGAATGAGAAACTCCAGACTGCAGGGTGTCTGAAACTGCAACACAGAGAAGGGCCTGTTGAAGCCTTGTGCTTTTTCTCAGACCCCAGAGACCCTGGCACTATGCCCAGCATAGTATTCAGAATGGGTAATGCTAACAGCCTCTGAAGACATCCTTTCCTGCATGCTGTGGAAGCCACTGCTGGCCTGGGGTGTTGGCTTTATCCCAGGTTCACTAGGGCCACTTTCTGCTCTGGAGGACTCAAGGGAATATGCCCAGGATGTCTGGGCTCCTCTGTCAACTTCCTCCCCTGAACTTGGGTTAGGGGGCCAGATAGTTATAGGTATCCCAGCTCCCAGAAATCAGTAATTATTTAAGAGCTCACTGCTGGTATTGTAGCTTTGTGATCACAGGGTCTTCCTGGCTGTCACCAAACCCCTTCCTCCTATTAGTACCTCTTGCAAAGGATATTCCTAAGTGAGGGTTTTGAATTAATACATATGTGACTATCAGAAGTTTCTAATTGCATTGGCATGAAGAAGCCAAAGGCTCTGTGCTGGTCTTGTTCCCAGGCCTAAGCTGAGAGGCTCTGAAATGTTTCTGGCAGGAGGGCATAGATTTCCCTGACCATGGGCTTCACGTGGCTGCCAATCAGCAGCCTATAAGGTCATGGCTTAGGAACTGGACACAGGGTGCCTGCTGGGTTGGTTTCAGGGCAGAACAGCAAGGCCTAGAGGTAACCAGTACCAATCTCTTTCCCCAAATCTATCTCCTTGCCCAGCTGGGATGATTAGTAGACTTGTGCATTGATTACCTATTTTCACTGTCTATTTTCCTTCTACACCTCAGCTTCAAGGTAGAAGGGATCCCCAAGCTTTAGTTTTATTTGATAAGAACATCATAGCATTCAGAATGATTTTCAACTAATGCTATGGATAAATCACAATGATTTGAACATAAAAGTTGGTTGGGATTCATTGACTGAATATTTACTTCCAC